GTCCAACTTTCAGAGCCATACATATAAATATAATGCATCAGAAAGATGTAGATTTTGAAAGGGGTGAAGGTGGTTTAGTAGGTTGGTTTGGTAGAAGGGAAGAACTCAAATATAAATATAATATAAAGCATCTATAAAACCATCCTACGGACATCGTTCGGTATTTCCCCCCCCTTTTTTTTGTCTTGTGGAGCAGGAAAGCAAAAGAATCATATCGAAAGTGCACAAATGATGTGAAAGGCAGACACCCTTCAAAATATTCACTCGGTTCTATATTTGGTCTCTTGGTTGTTTCACTTCAGAAAAAAAAATCATAAAAGCTCAGAGCACCCGTGACGCCTACGAGCGTGGCAATCTCAAATCACACCGGCAATGTTTTAATAGCCCAAGTAAAGATGTACAAACTCGTTGCAAGCTTTTGTGTTTTAAAGATCTTTCCCTGAGGCGAGATGCTTAGATGCATAAAAGGGATAGAGAAAAGAAGACAGAGATGGAAGGGATCTTGGAGGTTTTCTAGTCCAACCCCTACATCTTGTCCAATCTCTTCTTGAAAACCTCCAGTGTTGGAGCATTCACCGTTTCTGGAGACAGGTTGTTCCACTGATTGATTGTTCTCACTGTCTGGAAGTTTCTCCTTAGTTCTAGCTTGCTTCTCTCCTTGATTAGTTTCCATCCATTGCTTCTTGTCCTGCCTTCAGGGGCTTTGCATAAAAACATGGCAAGCCAGAATAAGAGCCACTTGGAATACAGGAGAGCAATTGGGAAAAAAATTCTCCTCCTTCAAATATCTGTTTCAAAATATTTGGGGAACAGCCATGGGCTGCACCGCCAGTGGCAGATGCTGGCTCACTGTTTTGCTCTTATGCCAAGATGGCTTTATGGAAATGTTACATAATTTATTTATTAATTTTAGGCCACCCATCTCCCCTGCAAGATGACTTTGATAATTCACCTTAATTGGGTTATACGGCTGTTACATTCTAGCCTTGATTAGCGGAACCCACTTTAAAAAAAAAAATAGAGTCCTGCATTGGTTTAAGTTTGATTCCCCAAACTGAAGTACAGGGAGATACAAACTGGAGTACAGGGGATACAAACTGGAGTACAGGGGGATACAAATGTAAGTACTTTGTCTGCAGCTCTTGAAAGCAGCTGTGTCTTTTTCCAGGATCAGGAACCTGGGCAAAGATGAGGCTGCTTTCAAGAGTCCTTGGACAGCAAAGGTGGCTAACAGGCAAGTACTGGAGCGCATAACACCAGACATATCACTGGAAGGCAAAAGCATGAAACTGCATCTCACTCATTTTGGCCGTGTCAACGCGGAGAAACTCACTGGAAATAGCATTTATGCTGGGAAGAGTCAGCGGTAAAAGGAGACCAGGCCGTCAAAGAACATGATGGCTGGACACCCATCAAGGACATAGAACAGCTCAAAGAGTTAGTGCAAGATTGGAAGATAGGAAGAGACCCGGCCCACAGAATCGCCAAGAGTCGGACACAACTAAACGGGTAACATCAACAGCTCTCATAAGTTACAGACAGAGGTTATGTCCATGGTCCTGAGTGCTTCGAAACACCTGTGGTGGTATATATAAGTCTGGATTCTCAGGAGGAAGGGAGCGCATTCCAGACGATCGAGAGACAACGTAGTTCACGTAGTTTGTGTGAGAGAAGGAAGGTGAGGACAGCTCCTCCCCAATGGTTCCCACCATTAGTTTGGCAAGAGTCCGTCTATAGTTAAGGAACAATAAGGAAATCTCCTTGGGAAAAATCATCCTGGTGTTGGGAGCCCGATGACAGCTTTTCCAAATTATTTCTGAAGCGCCTAGCCCTACAAAGTATTACCAAGCCAGAGGAACAACAATCGAGTGAGCAAAACACATTGAAAAGAGCCATATTTTTTTTCTTTTCACACCGCACAAGTGTTTCCCCCCAGGTCAGTGAGAGGACATCTCTGTTTAGGGACACATGAACTCAAAATCCTCCCGAGTTGGGAGGTCTCCAAAAATCATGGCCGGGTACTTGATCTCTGCAAGACCCAGCAATTAAAAAAACAAAACTTATCAGGACTCCTGGCAGCTTTGAGATAAACAACCCTGGCCTTGCACGCTCATTTTGTGGAGCTGATCAAAAGGAACATCCTGGAACACCAGATACAATGTCTGCTCTGTGATTTATTAGGACCAAGCTGGTTGGCGAAAGCCTTTTTTGGTCTTTTTTTCCCTTCTTCTTTCCATTAAGGATCGGAAGCCAGAACCAAATCATTTCCCTTTGTTAGCAGAACTCCCAGGTAGAAAAACTTGACTCTATAATTGAAACCTGATAAGAAGCTGAGAATGGGACTCTTTCTACCAGGTCTATCTATTACAGTTTACAAAGAGGAGGAGGGAGCCAGTCGCTCCTTGCAAGCAGAAAACACAAGTTGTAGATTTCAACAGTCAAGGCTACTTATCCACCTAGGTCAGAGGCAGGCAACCTTGGCCCCCTCATGACTCGTGGACTTCAACTCCCAGAATTCCTGAGCCAGCATGGGGGAACTATGGCCCCCTCATGACTCGTGGACTTCAACTCCCAGAATTCCTGAGCCACCATGGCTCAGCTTGGAAATCTCTCCCTTTCCCTTCAGCATGGCTGGCTCAGGAATTCTGAGAGTTGAAGTCCACGAGTCATAAAAGAGCCAAGATTGCCTACCTAGGCAAAATGTTGCAAAGCTACTATTTCTAGCAGTCTCCGTTGTAGTCCTTGACTTACAACAGTTCACTTAGGGACTGTTCAGAGTTACAATGGCATTTAAAAAAAGTGACTTTATGACCAGTTTTCACACTTATGGTTATTGCAGCCTCACCAGGGTCTCATGATCAGAATTCAGACGCTTGGCAACTGACTCACAGTTATGACGGCTGCAGTGAGCCGAGGCTCTGTGATCCCCTTGTGTGTGATCAAACAAAGTCAGTGGGGAAGCCAAACTCACTTAATGACTGTGTTACTAACTTAACGACTGTGGCGATTCACTTAACACCTGTGGCAAAAAGGTCGTAAAATGGGGCAAAACTCACGCAACTAATGTTTCACTTAGTAAGAGAAATGTTGAGCTCAACTGTGATCATAAGCCGAGGACTACCCGTACAGTCAAAAGGTGTGGGATACTGGGAACTGTACAGGCAATCCTCGACTTACGATCCCAATTGGGCTTGGAATTTCCATCGTACGTCGTTGCGATCATAAACCGGATCCAACTTTAGGACAATTTTAGGGTCGTCATTAAGGAAACTCTACCGTCGATAAGCGAATTCAGCCTCCCCAACAGGCGTTTTTTGGCTGGAGAAAGGGTCACAAATCATGACCATATGATTGCAGGATGCTGCAACTGGTCATAAATGGAACCTGGTTGCCAGCTACTCAAATTGCAATACCATGTGCACAGGAGTTGTACGTGCAAATACAGGTTGTAAATCACTTTTTCCAAGCTATGGTCACTTTGAAGCAACGTAAGTCTAGGACGGCCCAAAGTTCAGCAACCACTAGAACGCAGTTTGTTCTTCTCCGCTGCAAAAAAAAATATTTGATTTTTCTCCTTGGCAGACCACTGTGTGAGGTCCTCGCTTATGCATGCACACATAGGAGGTTTCCCAACATAAGCAACAACATTGGATGTTTACTTGACCTGCAGAACAAATCAAACACTCCGGGTGTTCTTTTCAGAGGTAAATCAATCCCATCTCATTGGCTCGAAAACTCCGTAACCAACATTCAAAATGCACTTTGCACATGACAATGGTCAGCTGCTATGCAAAAGTCAGATTCCAGACTACAAAACGAAAATCTTCTCCAACAACAGTTACCCACTGGTAATTTGAAATTCTGCAGACAATTAAGTATTATTTCATTCTCTTTTTGAGACTGGCAAGGAATTTAACTTAAGCTTTAGTTGTCCAAAGAGGTGGGACAGGGCTAATATATTGTTTGATGGGTCAGCCTTGGGTTGTTTTGTTCACTTCAAGGGGTGGGTATAAGTGTGGGTGTACATATGTGCATTCCCCCCCAAAAAACAACCCCAGCTTAGCAAGGAAGCAAATTCTTGGAATTGGGGAATCAAGGTGGAAATTCAAAATTCAACAGAAAATCCCAACAGCCGCCAGGTTCAACTTTTCACTTTGTAGAAGCGTACAAACTGTATTTGGACCAGCACTGGGATAATAGAGTCTGTAAACATAGCATCAATGAAGCATTAAATATAAACATGTGTACAAGAAAGAAGAAATTGCACAAATATATGAAAAAGTGGGACAATCAAAAGATAATTGGCTGTGCAAGTCAAGTTTGAGCAAAGAGAGAGCATGGATATTTTGTACGTATCGACTTGTAAGCCGTATCGACTTGAATTATTATTTTACAACAATTACTTTTAAGAAAAGAAAGGAGAGGTCTGCAGTCTGGTGCCTTTTTCATGCCCAGCTAGCTAGGAAACTCCCCCCCCCCCAAAAGACCAGCTGAGTAACATGGCATTTTGAGTGGCAATAAGAGAAGTTAGGAAGAAATCTAATCTATCTGTTTTCTAATATACGTTTTTTTCCCCTGAACTGACCATGATCTCAAATTAGACACGGAGCATCTACACAATATGCTAGCGAAGCACCCAAGGTGTCTATTAGTCCGAAATTGTTCGCGTTCTTCAAATCCGAGGAATCCTATAATATTACAACTCTCCGTGAGCTCAGGATCATCAGTAGAAAATGTACGTATATTAAACAAGACAACTTCAGAGTGGAAAGGCGCAAAAACCCATTTTCTTGTCCATGTTCTCTCATTTGGAGAGCATGTTTCACATTCGTTCCTCTGAAGAGAGGTGTAATAAACACGAGTGGGGAGGGAGGGGATTTATCTCCCCAAACCTATTTTTAGGACTCTGCCTGGCTTCAAAAAAACCCAACAGAGGGTCAAATTCTTTCCCAGTCAAGGAACAAACAGGAGCAACGTAGAAGCCGTGTAACGAGACTTACCGAATAGCCCTTTCCGGACAACGATTGAGCAGAACTCTGGGAGGGAAAAAGAGAAAATCACTGTAAGTAGTAAAAATGGTTGCAAAGAATGCTAAAAAACGCAAGTCTTACCCCCTGCCTGGCTTCACCCCCTCCTCATGCTCAACCAAAGGAATATAAAGTTCCGGGTACACTGATGTACGTTCCTAGCTGTGCGTCCCAATTAAAGGGTGTGCAGGCCAATCACAGGTGTGACATGTAGAAAGGAGAATTAAATCATAGATGTGAATTTATGGAAAGAAGGAGAATAGAACGAGAGTCATTCTAAATATGTATATATGTATATGTATATATATATATATATATATATAATGAGTCCCTCATTCTATATATGTATGTATATGTATGTGTGTGTGTATGTGTATATAATGAGTCCCTCATTCTATATATGTGTATATTACATGCATATGTGTATATATAAGAAGAGCAGTATGAGGGACTCTCAAGGTGCACAATAAAATATAAAATATCAAAGTATAAAAACAGTACATAGAATTTAAAATGTTAAAGTTAACATTTTAGAATTTATTCGTATCAGAAGCATCACAGTTAAAATAACCATCACAGTTTAAAAATAGTAATTTTAGAATTAAAAAAAAATAAAAAAATGCAAATATTCTTCCTTTTGCGTTGGACTTTTTTTTTTGTTGCTGTTGTATAAATTTTTATTCTCATTCGAAACATCAAAATACAGACTCTAAAACAGGAAAGATTAAAAGAAGAAAATAGATTCTGGACTTTTAAAAGAAAATAAAAGTAAAAGAGCTGAATAACCATCCTCTCCAAGCAGGCAAGAGATGATCAGGAGCAAAGTAATGAAAAAGACCACAGGAGACCTGGAAATTACAAATCTCTTTTTCGGAAACCCGCGTAAAGAATCACCAGTGAGGCTCAGCTTGATCCGAACACTAATGCAAAGGGCAGGGGGTCGTTTCTCATTGGTGTTTTTTCCCCCATTTCCTCTGTTGACATTTATTCATTTCTCCACAGGCAAGAAAGCCCACTCTGTTCTGACAGCTGGAAGGAACAGCAGAAACATCTAACACTAACTCAGAAGCTGGCACGATTCTTTTTTACGGCTGGGTGAATAAGTAGGGAGGGTGTAGGAGAAGAATAGGTAAAGCCCGAGGGCGGCGTCAAGAGAGGAATCAGCCTGGAGTCATTACGTTGCCACAAGTGATCTGAGTCTCACTCCTCTTATCTACGGCCAAATTGAGTGCTGGCAGTTGGTTGATGAGATTCTTATGTACAGGTAGTCCTCGACTTACAACAGTTTGCTTACTGGCCGTTTGACAACAGCAGTGAAAAAGATGAGCTATGACTGTTTTTCACACTCACGACCGCTGCAGCATCCCCGTGGTCAGGTGATCAAAATCTGGACACTTCACAAACTGACACGTGTTTATGACGGTTGCAGGATCACACAATCACACGATCCCCCTTTTGCGACTTGCTGACCCACAGAGTCAACAGGGAAGGCAGATTCACTTAACAACCGCGTTACTAACTTAACAACCAGAGTGAGTCGTTTAACAACTGTGGCAGGAAAGGTTGTAAAATGGGGCAAAATTCACTTAATGCCTGTCTCGGTTGGCAGCCAAAATGCAGGCCTCAGTTGTGGTGATAAGTCGAGGACTAGCTGTATAGGCCAAAGCAATAAATTAGCTTCACTGGAATTTCACGCATGGTCCTGATTCTTTGCACCTGACGGAAATACGCCCAGTTATCCATGCAACTTACTCTTGAGGTGGCACCCGCTTCTCGTAAGCTATTTCCTAATCAGCTGCTATTTATGCCTGATATTTTATATTTTTAATTTCCACCTTGGGGCTCCTTGGCTGCAACCAGCCAACCTGCCTCTAATTGCCAATTTGCTCTCTGCTTTGGTCTATCACTCCATTAGGCTCTTGCTGTGCCCCTTAGCCCACCCCATTCATCCAGGGATGCCCCCCCCCGAGAATCGAAGGGTTAGCTTCCCCTAACTACAGAAACCCATTTACTACAACTGGCAGTCAATTTCACCCGCCCACAGCACAAAATTGTGACTCTGTGACACCAGCCCTCCCCGTCTTCCCTCCCAGCCAGCCTCCCCTGCATTTCCAATTAATACAGCTTTGAAATATTTGCTGTTCTGTGGGCAGATCAGGACTCTATTTAGATGATAATAAGCAGCAATCCATTCCATTTAGCAACCGACAAAATCCATTAAAAAAAACAACGCAGGCTCTCCTTAAGCGGATGGGTCAAGAAAAGATAAACCCTTTTTTAAAAAAGCCATTATGTAAAGTGCCGGGTGGATTTTTATTTTATTTTTTACGGGGGGGGGGGGGAGCAGGTTTGGGGGAAATTAGGACAATTACGGAACAAAGGAGCAGAAGGGGAAGGAGAAGCAATAGAATGGTATAGAGTCTCTCGCTTGAGCAGGGGGTTGGACTAGAAGATCTCCACCATCCCTCTCAACTCTGTTATTCTTTTGGGATGAGCCCAAAGGCTACCCCTATTTCATTTTAATCCAAACAGTCATCAGGGTTTGTTATTTAATTCTTTTATGATTCCTCATGTCCGATTGGTGGTAGGTGCAGTGGGGGGGGTAGGTGCAGTGGGGGGGGGAACCTACTCCCCAAAACTTTTTAGGGAACTAGATGATGAGAAAATGACCAAAATGCTAGTGAACGCCTGTTCCCTAAGATAAATATAATTTTAGGATTTAAGGTTGCCTCACCCTTGTTGACGTGGTACTCCTGCTTCTGCCAAGGTTTCTCAAATCAGGTTACTGATCTAAATCTTGGCAGCCAAGTATTTGGATTGGGTTGTTTTATAACCGAGTCCACAAAGGTTTCTGCTCTGACATGTGTGAACAGCCGGTGGCCCAAACTTTCATTCTGACTCAACGGAGCAGGGCAGGAGAGTAGCTATGTAATAGCAGGGTTTGCAAACCAGCTTAAACCTCAAGTGCATCTGAGGGCAGAGTTGAGAACAAACATGGATGCTGAGATCTGCTTTGGTTAAAGACGTGTTTATTTATTTTAAAAAACCCTACTGGTTCTTCCTGCTAACACCAGTGTGGTAGCAGACGAAGCAAACTCTGATGGGAGAGAATATATTGTAATTCAGGGTTGAACGGTGGGGTCCCTGATGCTCCCCAAAATCAACAACTAAGTCCAGAGAGCAACAAGGATCTCACGGAAAGGAATTTGCTGTGTGACTTTCTCATGGGTGTTTCTGCTCAATCCATTCGGAGCCTGTTGGTCCACCTTGGAGAATATTTCCACTTTGCCGGAGGTCTCAAAACACGTTGGTTTCAGCCAAGAGTCACTCAAACCCTTTCGCTACACCTTACAATGGAGGGTTACCATGTATTTATCGATAAGGAGGTACAAGTCCTTTAAGAAGAGATGGTTGCCATTGGCCAAGAACTCAGAGTCTCCAGAAATGGAGTCTCCAGAAACAGGGATGGATGGATGGGTGGGTGGGTGGTTGGGTGGGTGGGTGGATGGGCTGGGCTAGCAAGCAAGGGAGCAGGAATGCACATGAAGTATCTTTCAATCTTAGAGGAGTCCATTTTCCCAGCCTTATGCAATAGCTTTGGAAGCCATCTGTATAAGGTAAGGAAGATGATCTTGGTGGAAATACCCAGGATCTCTTAGCCAGGCAAATCCAGAAGAACAAGAGAACTTCGCAGGCAGACGCCTCCCTAATTCACTGTATTCTTGAGGAACATGATCTGCTTGTGGGCTTCTCAGAAGCTTCCACTGGCCATGGTGGAAAAGAACAAGGTGGATCAAGACACTCTGATGCATGTTCTCATACCCATGTGCCTGAGACAGAGAGAACCTCTCCAGGCAGACGAGAGATGGGAAGCATCCCAAAAGCTGCAACCAAAAACAAAACAATGGAGGCAACAAGGAAACACACAACCACCGGCTCAGCCAATGTCAAACACGGTTGAGTTGCCTCTACGTGGATTTCACAGGTCCTCTCTCTCTCCACCGCCTTTTTTTCCGGGTTCCCAGATTCGTTTTCAATCTTGGAGGATGTGCATTCTCCATCCTTCCCCATGTCTTCCCCCCATCACCACATCGTTTGTTGCTCCCTGTTCACACTCACAACACGTAGCCTGAATTCTAGTTCCTCCTTCCTTCCTTCCGTCGCTTCTACCCTCACATTCGGCTGTCAGACTTGTCAAGCCGAATCCCGTTTTAATCTGCCAAAAGCACTTTTCAGCTGACATTTTTAATAAATACCTCCAGCTTTTAAACACATTTGTGTGAGCTGTTTTACTCCCCCCCCTCAATCCCTCCCCCCCTTCTTCAGGGGTGTAAGCTCTGAGCGCCTTAATAGCAAATACATTAGGCTTATCAAAGGCTGTTTTTTTTCTTTCCCTAGCATCTAGAAACAGAGGTAGTGTTTTCAATTTTAAAGCTAAATTAACTGTCCAATTGAATTTAGTTGGCATGAACTGCTTTCCCTGTGACAGGTTTTACTTATGAACCATATTTCACATTAATAGAACTCAACATGAAAACTTACTCTCCCTGGGACATCGGCGTGGCTCGCCACTGAAATGTTAAATTTAATATTTCAGACATGCCTAGTGCCAGCATTTGATTATTGTTCGTCATTTAAATCTCTCCTAACGGGGAAGGTCCTAATTAGCAAAAAATCATGTTTTAATGAAGGCAAAATGCTAATTGCTAGCGCCACACACATACACACACACACAAAAAAAGGCTTCACATAAAATTATCTCAGCATTTTCATTGATTTCTTGGCTACTGAAAGGGAATAAAAAAAGGGGGTGGAGATGTGGGGGGGGGGACCCCATTTGGGTGTTTATACACAAAGCCACCGTCTGGTTTTTGTTTGATCATAACATTTCACTCAAAGGCAGCAATGGGGGAATTCAACGGGAGGCAATGAACCTCTTTCCATCCTTCCAATCCCAACCCCTACACAGCACAGAGGCAAAGAAATTAAAATAAGTTCATCAGTGGAATAGCAATAACCCTTAGACTTATATACTGCTTCACAGTGTTTTCCAGCCCTCTCTAAGGGGTTTACAGAGTCAGCCTGTTGCCCCCAACAATCTGGGTCCTCATTTTACCGACCTCGGAAGGATGGAAGGCTGAGTCAACCCTGCGTTGGTCAGGATCGAACTCCTGGCTATGGGTAGAGTTAGCTTGCAGTGCTGCATTCTAGCCACTGTGCAGGGAGGGAGGGAGGGAGGGAGGGAGGGAGGGAGGGAGGGAAGGAAGGAAGGAAGGAAGGAAGGAAGGAAGGAAGGAAGGAGCAATAGCACTAGCAATGGCACTTAAGACTTACATGCCGCTTCACAGTGCTTTATAGTCCTCTCTAAGCAGTTTACAGAATCAACCTGTTGCCCCCAACAATCTGGTCCTCATTTTACCGACCTCGGAAGGATGGAAGGCTCAGTCAACCCTGAGCCGGGCAGGATCGAACTCCTGGCTGTGGGCAGAGTTAGCTTACAGTGCTGCATTCTAGCCACTATACAGGGAGGGAGGGAGGGAGGGAGGGAGGGCAATAGCAATGGCCCTTAGTCTTATATAAGGCTTCATAGTGCTTCACACGTTTGCATGTTTGCCCACTGCCTTGCAGACCTATGCTCATTCACCCCAATGAAACCGTCTTCCCTGCCCAGCTGTGAGTAGCTGAAGCCAGCAACTTTATTGAGCTCTGCCTATACAGATGGTCCTTGACTTAACAACGGTTTGTTTAGTGACCGTTTGAAGTGACCACGGCACTGAAAAAGGAGACTGACGACCATTTTTCACACTTACGATCGCTGTGGCATCCCCCGTGGTCACGTGACCAAAATTCAGATGCTTGGCATCTGACTCATAGTTATGACCCTTGCAGTGTCCTGGGGCCATGTGATCCCCTTGTGTGACCTTCTGACAAGCGAAGTCCATGGGAAAGTCAGCTCCGCTTAACAACCGTATTACTAACTTAATAACAGCAGGTTGCCAAATGGGGCAAAACTCACTTTACAAACGTCTCGCTTAACAACAGAAATTTGAGGCTCAATTGTAGTCGTAAGTTGAGGATTACCTGTATCTGCTCAAGAAACTGCCCAGACTGCTTGCTTTCCTCTGGAAACAATTCAAATAAGACTTTGTGGACCTTAGGAGATGGGTCAGGCTTTTGCCTCTTGTGACATAAGGACTCAAGGCTAATTCCCCATTTGACTCCTCCTTCCAGTTTCCCAACATAGGAACTACTGTCCCGCTCTGCGGTTTACTCCTTTTCTGATCTTTCCCTTATCATCTTATTTGTGTGGTGATTATAGTGTTTGCCAGAGAGATCAGCCACTTACGCCTTAACAGTCTGTCATGACATAGGGACGGGGAGAGAAAGTTATTACACGTTGACCTCTGAACGCCTAACGTTTGTTCATGCAATGTTGAGGACACGGCAGCCACGGAGAGCCACGGGGTTTCTCGTAAGATACTCACATCGCTGAGGCAGTCCCTGGAGCTACTTAGCTGGGAACTGGTGGCTTCCCGGATGCTGTCATCTTCACTGTTCCTGCCACCCCGTCTCGCTGGGATCTTCATCTGTAGAGGAGCAAGAAACCACATCAACTTAGCAAAGAGTCTAAAGAAACCACATTCGCTTAGGCCCGAATGTTCAGGCATCTCTCCGAAACAGCTGGAGATGTCTTTGGGAAACATCTGACTTTAAACTAATGACATTTCAGATCTTCTTCGCACCCCAAGGTGGCAAGATGGCCCCAAGAAGCAGACAAGCATCTGTTCTTTCATTACATATTTATATCTCCAAGATGCAGCTGTTTTGACTTGCTATGCTTATTTCAAGGCAGACTTTTTTAAGTATTGGCAAGTCCGCTAGCCAAGGAAGTTGCAAATATTTCTATAACAGAGAAAAAAATAATCCCAAAAGCCAAGGTGCTAGGTGGAGTTTTTGGCTTTATTATCAGCCTTTTAAAGGTAAAGGTTTCCCCTGTCACGTCCGATTCTAGGGCGCAGTGCCCATCTCTGTTTCTTGGCCCAAAGGAGCCAGCATTATCCGAAGACAATTTCCGTGGCTGTGTAGCCAACATGACACTACGCCAAAAGGCCCACAGAACGCTGTTGCCTTCCCACCAAAGTGGCACCTATTTATCTACTCGCATTTGCATGCTTTTGGACTGCTAGGTGGGCAGAGGCTGGAGTGAGTAACAGGAGCTCACCCATCGCGTGAGTCTTAAACCCAGGTTGTTAGCTGTTCAACTGACAAACTCGGTGTCTTTAAACATTGAGCCACCCCTTATCAACTCTTTAATAACGGTTAAATGGGCATTTTAGTATGGGACTTTGGAACTTTGGACATGAAACCATCGTTCACTGACATATTTAGGAAACCATGTTTTGAGCCAAAGCTATTTCCTTGGATATGACAAAATTTTTCTGGTATCTCTTAAGTATTTTCCAAAACGATAATTTTAGAAGGAACAAGTCACCCTGGTTTTCAATTGTCTGAATCGGTACGTCAAACTTATACTTACCTGACCTGCAACTTTGAGGCTTAATTTCTGCAAAAGTCTAACATGATGCTTCAATTTAACTGCATTTATTCCATTTGGGTTTATTTTTTTTCCCTCCTCTTTTTTATAAGTACAGTTAATATCAATATGGCCCTCTACAAGATATTTTCTCCCCAAGGGTTCGGGAGCTAGGAATTGTCAGCTGTACAGAAGTAACAATAATAAGTGGATAAAAATGCTAAACCCAGTCTAAACATCTGGCTTGTGCATCATCACAGTCGTAATTCCCAATCGCTTCATTTGATCGCATTACACACAACGGCAGGGCAGTCCTCTTTATTATTTTCCCCTTCTCTTCCAAAGTTACACATCGAAAAAAAATTCATGTTTCCAGCCAGCATGGCAGGCAGAAATGGAATAAAACAAACTTGCAGACAGCAACACACAAAGAGGAATCTGACCTAACAAGAGCTTCCAGTGGGCAAGCAAATTAGAGCGACTGACGCCACCATTAACCTCTCGGAGTAAACGTAAATGATTAAACTTCCTTCGGTACCTCTGTCCCTTGTTTCCTGCTGTGAATTAAGAAGATCTTCCACCTTTTTGACAGATCTTGTCCATTTACACCTGCTGATCGCCAGCAGGGAGGTTCACCCCCCTCCCTTCCCTCCCCCATTGCTAGAACAGTCAGACAACCTGCTTTAATTCACTGGTAATTACCTTAATGAGACTCACGCAGGTCTGAATGGGGAGAACAACCTGGGTTTTTTTGCACAATGCAATCTATTGGTTTCGGCAGGGAGGGGGGATTCCTTGGCAGACCAGGTTAGAAATGAACTTGCCAAGAGGGATGGGGCATGAAGCTGTTCCTTGCTCCGTTAGCAAGGATTTGGCCAATTTTAATTGTACCGGAGAGAGACAGAAAGGCGACTGCCAATATTCCCTTTTGATCCAATTTGGCGCGTTAATTCTTTCTCTTTTTTTCCCTCAGCTTTAAAATGGACACGTATAGACATCGATCTCCTGAAAAACGAATCCGTGTCGACCGCAGTGTCCTTCACACTTTAACACGGGTGGGCTTCATCTCCCAGAATCCCCCAGCCAGCATGGAGCAGAGCCCATGGTTCTTTAAAACAAATTAGCCACCCCTCCTAGGCTGAAGCATACCTTAAGACTGATGCAGTCATTCCTGGTCAATGAGAATTGCAGAATCACATCCATTCCGGTTACTTTCCGGATTCTGCATGAAACGATACCAAGGAATGACTGCAGGAGGCGGCAGAGGGTGGGAAAAATCCATGTACCAATTCCAGTTACTTCTGGGGGGGGGGGTCCTAAGAAGTAAGCTAGCTAAGCAGACCCGACCCCTCCCCCCCCGACATCACGTTTTGGGATGAAATATCGCAATCCTCCTAGCCGTCACTCGTGTTTTCATTACCTTCCAGCATCAGTTAACTCTCCCTGTTGCTATTTTTCTTTTTTTCCTGATTAAAAGAATTATTCCAGGACGGAGCTGAAGACCATCAAAAGACCCCCCCCCCAACCACCTGAAAATCCAACTTTCATTCTTGATGAGTCTACTGGTGCAAGCAGTCGACAAATTACAACCACAGTGGAGCCCAACCTTTTTTCTTGTTAAGTGACACAATGGTGGTTAAGTGAATTTTGCCCCATTTTACGACCTTGCTGGCCACAAGGGAACCGCTGCAGTTGTTAAATTAGTCACACGGCTGTTAAGTGAATCTGGCTGCCCCCCCCCCATGGACTTTGCCTGTCTGAAAATTGCAAAGGCAGAATCACATGATCCTGGGATGCTGCAACAGTCACAAGTACATGTCAGTTGCCAAGCGTCTGAATTCTGGTCACGTGACCACGGGAGGGATGCTGCAATGGTTGTAAGTGTAAAAACGGTCACAAGTCACTTTTTTCTGTGCCGTTGTAACTAGACAGATGATTGTAAGTCGAGGAGTGCCTGCATCCTTCCCCAACTCATGGTTGTGCCGTCCCTGTTTTCCGTTCGTAAGCAGCTTTTGCCATCCACTCATTATTAATAAACACACTTCGATTTATCCAAAGCTGCCTTCCCTTCGGAGGGCCGTTGGGAGCTTCGGGGCAAAAGGAGACAAATTCTTTTCTTAAGTTGTTCTGAAGGATGTTGCGCTGGGTGACCCTGACTCCCATTAACCTATCAATGCTGGCTTGCTCCTAACGGGAGCTCAACCGCCTGCGAAGGAGCGGGGATTCAGTCTGATCTTTGGCGGTATCAACGCATTTGTTTATTATCTCGTACACGCTCAGAAGCATTTGCAAACACGCTTGGGTCAGGATCCAAATTGAATCATCTGCCTTCATTTTCTACAGCTGCTCCGACAGGCGGCTGGGATTTCCCCCCTTGACAAGTTTTAAAGTTTTATTTTTTTATTTTTCTTATAAATCACGCTCTTAAAGCGACGGCCATCTGCTTCGGTTCTGTTTGGTTTCGGGGCTTCTAATTTTAGGCTCCCCGTTCTTTCTTTTAAAGAAAGGCTCGCAACGAGAACTTGGGAGGAACGTGCTGATCTTGGCAAGCCAAACGGGAGAGGAAACTCCAGGCGGGCTGATGAGTGACAATTTCGATCCTCGTACAGCTACTCCAGGCGATAACGTGCAACAAAATAGAAGGTGGCCCGATTCACACAGCGCGCTAAAATCACGTACAAGTAGTGCTCACCTTACCACCGCAATGGAGCCCAACGTTTTCGTTGCGGAGCGAGACATTTGTTAACTGAGACATTTGCCCCATTTTGTGACCTCTGCCACCGTTGTTAAATGGATCACTGAAGTTGTTAAATTAGTCACACAATCTGGCTTCCCCCGTTGGCTTTGTTTGTCAGAAGGTCACAAACGGGGATCCCGTGAACCCCGGGGGACACTGGGACCATCATAAATAGGAGCCGGTTGCCAAGCGTATGAATTTCGATCACGTGACCGTGGGGTGGCTGCAACGGTCGTAAGTGTGAAAAAGGATCACAAGTCCCTTTTGTTGTTGTAACTTCAAATGGTCACTAAACGAACTGCTGCAAATTGAGGCCTATCTGTAGGGGATGTGATTGTGGTTTAGCCTAATGGGGTTTGAGAAGTGGGGTTTACGACACGGCGTCTTGTGTAAACGCAACTGTGCTTTTGCTCAACGAAGTGCGATCAGCTGCCAATTGTGGAAGTGTGTGGGCTGGCTTTTGCGTAGGGTTTCTGAGCAGGCCGGCCAAAGTCACCCCATGTTGCTGAATGACTATCGACCAGCATCATTATCAAGCCGATGGCAATAATATTAGGAAGGCAACCCCGATTCACGTAGCTGTTATCTATTTACTATTTTGCTTTATTATCGCTTAGGAAAGACGAGTGGGAAAACCTTGTTATTCTTTCTAGGAGGTGGAAAGTCGTTCTTTCTCATTTTCAAGTGTGAAGGTTTGCCTTTATAAATGCATTTCTTTGAGAGAGGAGATGGGAAGGAAGGAAGGAAGGAAGGAAGGAAGGAAGGAAGGAAGGAAGGAAGGAAGGAAGGAAGGAACCCCTGGATCAAAACCAGTTAAACGTATTACATCTGACTTGCTTCCCTGAAAACCCCGCACTAATGTTTCCTAACAGAATTTATCTGTCCCAAGCATCCCTCATAATGAGATCAACTGGGAAAAATATCAAGCTTGTTTGTATATTTTATACGTGCTCTAACTTGGCAGTTTGCAGATTATATATTCCCCAAGTCCCTCCTTAAGTCGTTTCACACACTGCAATTTGATTTTCTTTGCTTGCCCTTTGCCACCATTTCCCTCCCATACATTTTATTGACTTGTGACTCACAAAGCAACATTCCCTTTGAATTAAGGATGTAATCTTTTCTCTCCCCCCCCCTTTTTTTTTCTCTAAAGCATAGGTGGTGAGGAAGTGGAGGAGGAGGAGGAGGAGGAGAGGGAGGGGGGAGGAGGAGGAGGACTGTGTAGTCCTTTTGTTTCCTTGCAGACATTTCATGACCCAACTAGGTCACATCATCAGTGTTAGAAGGGAGAGGTATTTGCTGAAAGGAGGAGGAGG